GTATTTTTTCATTAAATATGTTAATACATCATTTTTTCCCTCCATCTGCTAATTTATCTTTTGTTGGTATTTCCGTCGTTATTTTATTCTCAAACATAGTTTTCTGTTTTCTTTTTTCTATTCGTATCCATGTCTCTCTTTTTTGCGTCAGATCCGCCTTTTTATTTCTATTTAGATTAGAATATTTTATCTTCCGATTTGTTTTTCTCTTAAAACTTACTCAATCTTGTATGCTTATAAATATTCACAGTTATATTTTGTCAATGCGTAAATACCCGATGATAGAAAGCAACAGAAATATATCACTAGTTTTAGCGTCAAGATCTCTAAACACTTAATTTGTCTTAATTTGAAACGGCAGTAAATTTCTCTCCTGAAATTCTAAAAAAAATCAAGATTTGCCCGGACATTATTAATATCTTATTTAAAAGAGGTCATGTGGCAACAAGAATTTGGCGGCAACTCACTTAAGAATTTCGTTTTACAAACTGCTTCACATTATTCTATTGAATAGTTGTTTTGCATATTTTTCAATCAAATTTTGTCATTCACATACAAGTTCTTTTTTTAAACAGGACTTCTGTTCTGTCTTTATATTATTGTATAGATAATGTTCACATTATGTACTCGTGGCATTGATTATTGTCTAGTTATCGTTCTTCAATAATTTACGCGCAAGTCTTTTTTTCATCACATGTTTGAATCAATCAGTATTTCAAATCTGTTTATCATTTTTCTAATGCTTATCCCATTGTCATTGATCTTTTTACAATATTTCAAATACTATCATATAATAATTCTACGTAATCAATGTCAATTAATAAGAGAAAAATTAAATAAGGTACATTTAACTACAGATGTACTAGATCAAGAATATTATCAATTAAAACAAATTCTTTCATCATCGTAAGATTTTTTGTTAAATAAAGAAATAATTCGAAAAAAAATTAGATTTTAGAATGTATAAAAATGATATTGAAGAACGTTTAATTAATATTGAAAATGAACAGCAAAGATCATTAATTGATCAACAAAGAATTTATACATTAGAACATTTAGTAAAAACAATTTCTTTTTTCTTAAAGAAAATAAGATTCGAATTTTGTTTCTAGAATCGTCAATTAAAAAATGATTTGAATGCATCGAAATTAATTAATGAAAGTTTAAAAAGAAGGTAATTATTAATATAGTAATAATAATTATAAAAGAAAAAAATGTCTTTTTATTTTTAGATTAAATTGCACTTGTCAAATAAATAATAAAAATGAATATCGTTTGTTTTTTCTTTTATTAATCATCTATAATCTAAATTTTATTTTTAGTACGTTCATATCTTTCAACACAAAAATCATGGCCATTTCCTTATTGTCCTCCATGGATTCCTGCAAAGTTTGTTATTTTATATTTTCATTAATAATATCGTTTTTTTATATATAGACTTTCAAGTATTCATGAAGAGAAACCATTAAAAATTTCAAGTCCTTCAAGTGTGTCAATGTAAATAAAACTGATTAATTAAAAAAAATATCTCGTGTTTTTTTTATTTTCTCAATACTACCATTTTGATTTACATGATTTACAATAATCATTCTATCTTATTTATGTACAATAAAACCATTCTTAACATAATTCTTATTATATATTGGAAGATCATATGCTACTTCTTCATCGATTTCACGTCGTGGTATAGGTATACGTGAACCACGTCTAGCACGATTTTGTGCTAAAACTTCTTTTAAACTTATATGTTTTTGTTTATTATGAATTGGAGGCAGTGATCTAGGTGATGTTTCATTAATTGTTGTTCGAGGAGTTATTTTTGGATAATTAGGTGTAGCAAATTCACTGACATGAGATGGTTTAACTGGTGGTCGTAGTAATGTAGGTGATACTTGAGGCAAGTGTTGACGAGGAGGAACAGGAGGAGAACGAGAAATTGAAGGTAGATTTTCTATATACACAGGATGATGAATTGGTTGTGCTTCTTCGACATACTAAAGCAAAGATTTGTCAAATAAATATTTTATTTTGTTATCCTACTTGTTGTTGTGGTACAACATATTCAATAATATCTTCATTGCTTAGTTGATGTTCATCTTCATAAATATGTTGAATTGTTTTTGGTGATGGTGGTATTTTAAAATAGACTCTTTTAATTATTTTTGGTTGTTCTGATCGTATATGAATACTTTGACGAGATGATATTATTGGTAATTCTTTATTTGAATAATCATTATTATTATTATTAGTATCATAATGTCGATAATATCTTCGTCGAACTAATATAGGTGAATCAATTCTTTGTGTTTGATTAGAAATCGGATTTTCATCAAGTTGTGATATATCATAATTATTTTCATATTCCGATGGTATATAATAAGAAATTTTATGATCACCAAAATCTTTTTCAGTTATATTATATTGTCCATATTTTGAACGATTTGTAATATGACCTGTTTTATTTGGTATAACATATGAATTATTATTAGTATTATTTCTATTGAGAAATTCTTTTGGTTTATAATAATAATCAGGTGTAATTCGACTTGTTCTCATCATTAATTATATATATATAAGAGAAATTGAGAAGTTACAGTTAAGAGAAAAGTCAAAAAAAAAAAACTACTACAATCATAAAATTATTAGACTTTTCATTAAAGAATATGAATAAAAAGAATGTTTGTGTCAATATTCCCTCCGGAGAAAAAATCTTATTGAAGGTGAAAAAAAAATTCATATATAGCAACATCAATTACACAAATGCATAAGAAACCTTTTCAATTATTTGAATAAAAAGAAAGAAAAAAAATTCTTTTTCATTCTTCGATCAAACATGAGTTTCATTTGTATCCTCCTCGTTTGATTGTTCATCTAATGATATTTCATCTGGTTCTGTTTCCGGTTGTTTTATCCATTGTCGTCGTTGTGCAAATTCAAAACAAACAAATAAAATAGCCATCATACCATAACCTACACTAAATTTCCATCCATCATCATTTTTATGTATTAAAAATCCAACACTGGATGCATTAATTAAACCAAATAAAGCGAATATTGCTGCTAATAATGACCAGAACATCGCTCGAAGAAATTTTCGATCAATTATATACATAAATATAGCTGTTAAAAATATACATTGAAGAAGACTACCACCAGAAAAATTTAAAAGACCATGATATGAAAAACCTGTTATATGTGAACTAATGTTTTGATTAAAATCAGTATGATTTTGTATAAAATTTTTATAAGCATCATTAACACCACTTATTATTGTACCTTGTGTCCAATCAGCAATAATTGGCATTAAACCAAATAGAAATGCTGGATAATGACGTCGAGGTGTTATTGAAAGTGTATCAGCACAAATAACAAGACCAATAAATATCTAAAGTTACATATTTAAGAAGAACGAAAAAAGAAAAATATATAATTTATATTTACAATAATCGGATTGACAGAAACAATAGCAATGATTGACACAAGAAGAGCATTTATACCAAAAAAACATAAAGGTAAAAATGCAAGACCATTAGCTAGAGAATAACCTTGTTTAGCACCCATCTTTTTGAAAGCAGGATGACCAATAAATGCTAAATAAAAATAATATATTTATTGTCTTTAAAAGATCTAATATTCTTACTTGTCATTCCAAGAATAGATCCAAATAGACTAGCAATTAATGTTCCAATACCATCAGCAAACATAGCTTCTCTTGTTGGATAAAAATCTCCAGCTCGTCTTGCACATTCAACACATTGTATTGTACCAATCGCTATTGATATAGCAGTTGGAATTGTTGTAGATAAATATGGAGTTATTTCATTTAGATTTGAAAATATTTCTTTTATAGGAAATACAAGTGGATATGGTTTAACAATTAATGCAGCATTACGCACATCTGAACCATGATTTAATGATGTTGCCCAAGCAAGTATAGTACCCACAACAAGAGCAATAAAAGCAACTGGAATTGATCCAAATTTAACTAAAGAACATAACAATTTATATCAAACAAAATTTGATTTATTTTTATGATTTACTAACTAGCACCAAAATAACCAAGCATAACAATAGTAAATGGAAGAAAAGCAACAATAGGAGTTGCAGCTACAGGTAAGTATTCATTCAATGCTAAATACGTAAAACCAATACCAGATATTGATGAAAGTAATGCAACAGCAGGTGTATTTTTTCGAATAAATTCTCCAAAAATACATAAAACCAAAAGAATAATTGCCGTTACAAAATTACTTGCAACTGCCACATACCATGCTAATTCTTCACATGAACGTCTATCACGTCCATCATTTTTATTTAAACAACTAAAATAAGTTGGCATTATTATACTATATATAAAAACAACTAAGAATAAACAATAAATAATACACATACATATAGATAAATATTACTAATCTTACATGCTCCAGGTGTATTTATTCCATAGGGCATAGTGCATACATCACTACGATTTTCTTTATAGGCTAATTTACGTGCCATATACACATAATAAAAATTTCCCCATAACATCGATATTGCGACTCTAAAAAAGAATTTTAATTTTTTTTTCTTCTAAATAGTGGTTTTATTTTTACCCCGGAATAATTTTTCCAAAGATAATATCTGATTCAAATACAAGTTTAAGACCAAGAATAACAGCTAATAATGTTGCTAAATTATTCATAAATAAACCAACAAAACCATCAATATCACCAAGAACAAATAATGGATATTGTCGATTTCGACGAAATGCATTAATCCATTCTTTTGGATGAAATGTAAATAAATCTCGTATTTCATCTTGAAATTTTTTCCAATTTAATTTTAAAACGTCATTTATATTAAAATGTTTTTTCGTTGATTCTTCATTTCTTTCATCGATTACATTCAATTCTTCAGTTGATTTTATTTTATTAGATAATGGAAATGATATTGATGAAGACATTAGTAAGATAATTTATCTACTTTTAATATAAAAATATCAACGGTATATATAGAAATAGTCACGCTTCTGTGCTTTTCATTTATATTTTACATCCTTGTATCTGATGGTATATATAAATAGAACGAAAGAAGCTTGATACTCGTATTCAAATTATTTATAATGATAGTATACTCAAATACCTTAAAAGTATGAAGACAAGTTATTTTATTTAAAACAAAGTACGCTATTCATTTTATTCGATAAATCAATCAATATAAACATTAATCTTATTCGTTCATTCATATAAATCAATTGGCGTATTTTCGTACCCTCCTTGGAGTAATTAATCAGTTGAACTAATGAAATTGTTTTATGTTACTCTGACAATCAACCTGTCAGAATAAATCATATTAATAATATGTTTGATTTACTCTAGCTGGGAAGAATATGGAAGTACAGTTGTGTATATTTATAATAATTCAAGTTCTCGTATTAAGAATAATCTATCGATAACATCACTTGTGTTAAGTTCATTATTATAACGAATTAAATAAAAAAAATAAGGTTAGTTATTAATCTGTAGACATATTTCTTTTCATTTTATTACAATTGACAGTAATAATGGACATATGTCAATATTAGTC